CCGCGGGCTTTGCCCTGCCACTCGCACCAGCGATGCCTCGGAGGCCAACCAGACGCAGTGCAAACCCGGATATTGGAATCGGACGGTGTGAAAAATATATTCAAAGCCAACGGCTAACAAGCATCGTCGAATGAGCACTGTATTCATCTCATGTACCTCTTTTGGCCCCCCCTTTTCTCTTTATTATGGCTCTATTCCCCAAGTGGCTTATTAAAAATATTCCCTGGAAAATATGGGGAAGGGAAAATATGTAGCTTGCTCTGCACAATTTTGCAAGTGGAGAATTCCCAAAACACCGAGGAGAGAATGGATGGGGAGTTTTATACTGGTGGAAAGGTTTGGGTAGTGACAGCTTCACCAACGGGTCGAGGAATTTCGGGGAATCGTGGGGATGGCGAATTTATTTTGGGTGAAGGAATTATTGATTTGAGATTAGTAAAACTGTTGCAGTGAAGTTAACAGGGATTTAATGCTAAATTTACATTTCTTGGAAATTTTTAGCAGTTTATAATTCTCTGAAGATTCAAAATTTCAGGAAAAAATGAATGGAAATTGTGAATTCCACTGCAAATTTTCGTTTTTTGATGCTCAAAAATTTAAAATTCCATTGGATTTTCAGTTTTTTTATATCACCCTTCAAATTCCCAGCAATTAAAAGGAAATTCATCATTAAAAAATCTACATTTCAGTGAAAAATCAATGGAAATTGTGAATTCCAGTTGAATTTTTCCTTACATATGAATAAAAATCAGGAAAATTCAAATAACTTCTGAAATTTTCGTCTTGCCCCTGCTCAAAAATTTTAAATTTCATTAAATTCCCAGTGTACCCACTGATTCCCCAATCCAAATTTCAATTCCACAATTCCCCCCAAAATCCCACCGCCCCTCCCCAAAACGTTCTCCAAATAACGAAGCGCAAAAAACTCATTACAAATGGATTTCGAATAAAAACACCCTCCCACATTGCACCCCGCCTCTCACGAACAGTAGAAAGTCGAGCAAACTGCAACAACATGGGCTCCCCGACAATGCCCTTATAGACTCGACAATGCCCCCGAAAAGAATGGAGCGAGCTGCATCCACCGAGAGGTTATGTTTTCCCAGTAGTCGGGATATTACACGGGTCAGACTGCCGACTGTTTCCACTCGCCCCACAAGCGCCTGCATACATTCACCCCCAGAGAGTGTGCCCCCCCCCCTGCCCTGCCGCCACCTGCGTGACAGAGTCGACTGTCTGAATCCCCTCAGACAGTGAATTTCACTCGTCTGTGAGTGCTAGGTAAAAGGAAATCGGGAATCCGGTTTAGGATTCAATCGAGCGGAAAGTGTAGCTGGGGAGGACAACCCCGACCCCCTCAGCCCCACGCCCCACGCCATCACAAGCATCCTCTTCTTCTCGTCCTCATCGTGAACCTCATCCGACGCCGGACGCGTTTTGTGCCCTGCCTGAGGGCCTCGGATAGTTGAACCGAGGGAGAAGGGCCACGCCAGGAGTTTCCTATTGGCTTCGTTAAACCACCGAACGACGGAGACAGATAACATTTTATCCCTCGCACCCTCTGCCCCCCCCCCCCCGCCCG